TCTGGTCTTTCACTTCCTGTAGGCTTCACAACACAAGCTACAAAACCAACCCCAGTGTTCAAAGACAAAACAACTGCACCCTCTGAAACATCTTCTGAAAAAGGTAAGGATCAATACACTACATTCACTTCTGTTCATTTAAGATGAAGTTTCATGATGTTCTCCTGATCTCCTAACATCTGCAGGAAAAGAACTGTCTCTTAAAACTACTCTTTATAAATAGACTACACTTTATAAGAGCTAATAAATGATCCAGATGGTTAGTAAGTAAAGCAGTAAAGCTTAAAATTAGTCTTAGATCATGTGGAGTGTCCACCAGACTACTCCCTGTGAATGAGCTGTTACTATAGAAACGATAACGTATTAGAAGAAGCGCATTAATATGAATCTGTGATGTGCAGCTGCATTACTGTCAGAGCTAGAAAATGATTACGCACCGATGATTAATCTGACCAATCAGAATGGAGAATTAAACCCCCATGTGTCCTTTTCACTTCTGTGAAACCAGATCGTCACCACACCACCATCATCATCTGTACTGCTGTTGGGGTTCTGCTGCTGCTGCTGCTGATAGGAGTCATGTACTGGAAACACAGAGGTATACACACACACACACACACACACACACACACACACACACACACACACACACACACACACACACAGATTTCTGCAGTCTCACTCTGTCTGGTTTCATTCTGTAGGACAGAGACGAGGACAGATCGAGATCAGTGATGGACAAGCAAGACAGAGGACACAGAAGACGCAGGTGAATACACACATCCATGTGGTGTGTCTGTGTGTCTATGTGTGTGTTTGTGTTTGATCTAACGCAACACATGTTTTTTCTACAGAATGATTCTGATGTTCTGTACACAATTCTAAATCCACAAACGAAACGCAACAAAGCAGAAGAAAAGGTGTGTATGATTCTAAAAGTGTGTGTGTGTGTGTGTGTGTGTGTGTGTGTGTGTGTGTGTGTGTATATAATAACAGGTTGTTTATGTTGTGTTCCTGCAGGATGAGGTGATGTACTCGACTGTAGTCCACAGTAACACTGTGAGAGCAGCTCACCCTCCAGTGGCATCAGGAGATACTACATTATATGCCAGCATCAAAAACTAACTAACACACACACACACACACACACAGACACAGACACACAAAATCTTTGTACTATATTTGTGAGGTTTTTTCACTGCTTTAATTGCAATTTCAACTGCTTTATAAAGTGTCTGCAACCTAACATTTAAAAAAAACAATATTTTACTATATCTAATAATTTACTATATCTGAAGAATAATAATACTTCTCTTTGCTCTTACATATTTGGTTTAAATGTTTATTTTTTTTGGCATTGTTACCTTTTGCATTATCGTTAGATCTTTAAAGCAGCAGTTTGATCCTCATCTCCAACTTCAAGCTCTCTGCTGAAACTGTGTATGCATCATGGGTTGTGTTTTAGGAAACGTTTAGAGCTGAAGGAAGTCTGTCTCGGCTGAGGCTGAGGTGATTTCTGGGCCATAAAAACACCTAAAAGGATGCCTAATGTCCAAGAATCCAATTTTTACAAATGATCTTTGAAATGATATGATTCTTTTAGGTCTATACACGCCTGAAAAAATGACAAAAGCTCACAGCTTTGGATAAAATAGACTTCCTTGGTGTTTTTAGCAGTAACAGTTTCTGTGCATGTTTATTTCTATTTCATAAATAATAAAAGCTGAAAAGCTCACAGGGGACTGTCTTCTTATTCTGCATTTTCATACATAACACAGAGTCCTACAGAAGAAAATGAGCATTTTACACTAGTCGAGTCAGAGTCACTGTAACTAGCGATCAAATCTTTATTATTGTTGAAATATTCTATATTATTGGTGAAAATTACTGGGTTCCTGGAGGACTAGTGGTTAGGCTACAGCACTCTCACTGCCATGGCCCGGGTTCGATTCCCATACAGGGAACCAACCCCAGCCACTGGGGTGGTGTGTAACAGTGCGCGCTCAGTGCTCACAAGCCTGGAAAAAAATTGGGGAATACCTGGACCAATGATCTACTGTAGTGACCCCTAACGGGAGCAGCTGATAGAGGAACAACACTGATGAAACTTTTCACTCATAAAACATATGTGGTCCAAGTTCTTTGATCTTTCAGTATTAAGGTTTGGATTAAACCCATTTAATTCTCATGATCAGTCCAAGCAGGAAATAACTACAAGAACTCAATAAGAAATATAAAAACTTTGATGGTTAATGGTGGGTCGTGATTTCCATCACTGTAACATATAAAAACTGTTAGATGCCACTTTGAGAAGCGGCGCACGAGATCATTATCAGGTGATCAGTTGTACAGAGCTACAGCATGATACACAGAAAGAACAAACATCCCAAAATCTCATCCTGCTCCTTCACCTCACGTCTGCACAGAACCAAAACCCGACTTCTCCTCCAACTCCTGCTCCTGTGTGAGAGATTTCTGTTCACCCAGCTCTCTCTCTCTCTCTCTCTCTCTCTCGCTCTCTCTCTCTCTCTCCACACTGATGTACACTGAACAGTCCATCTCTAATCTCTGCATGGGTTCTGATTTGAAATCACTGGAGGATTTTGGTTTTGTTTATGGTTTTGGAAGTTTATTGGCATTAAATAATTTGTCACAATTCTGGACATATGCTCCGCTACACATGAGGGTCTTTTTCTCTGAGCCACATTTTCTCCTCTTATGTGATAGATAGATAGATAGATAGATAGATAAGCACCATGTGACTGAGTGATGCAAAGTGTGTTGAAACGGATTAAAGGGGAAGTAGCAAGTGACAAATCACTGGAAACTATTGCTTCATTACATGTGGTGTAGGTGTGTGTGTGTGTGTGTGTGAGAGAGAGTGTGTGGCCTGGAAGAGAGTGAGTAAGACTGCATTTAAATTGTGTCATTGTGTCTTAGTCTGTGGTCATAACTGCAGCACGGACGTTAGTGCGTAGTGGACGTTAGTGAGTTGTAGTCATTAAATATTAATAATGCTGGTGTGTTTTTATCTTCTCCTTCTTCTCCACATCACTGCAGGTGAGTCTGCTGTTCCCTCTCCCCTATTTAATATATACATGATTAAATATACGTAAGACTTTACCATTTCAAGCTGTTAAAGCATAAAGTCATACACTAATCTTACTAAAGATATGCAGAGGTAAAGTGCACACTGAGCAACTGAAATCGTTTGGTTCATTTGCCATCAAAACAAATCTGATACAAACTTGAGAAAATGTTCATCATGTGACTTTCATAAATCTGACGTAAATCATGTAGAGAAGAGATGTGTGGATTTCCATGCTTATTAAATAAAAACTTTCTGCCAGAGCTTTATTAAGCTTTATCTATATCCTGGGATCATGTAGAGCGCTGAGTCTCCTTCATCACTACACTTCCCTCTTGCTCTCTCATTGGCTGCTGCTGATCGTATTTACAGCTCCGTACATGTGCTTATACTACAAGATTTGGTACCAATAATTTCAAAGATGTTTGAAATACTGGAGTGCCCTAGTGTTTCACATTACTGCCGGTTCAGGTTTCCTGATGGCAGGGAAAGAGTTGTTATAGTCAATGCATTATCAATATACGGATTGAAGAAGGCGTTCAAGTGCAAATGGCTACAGCTCAACTTAAAGAAAAAAAAAAAAAACAACTTACTTTACATACTTTTTAAAAAAAAAAAACTCAGACAGCTGAAAAAAATGACGGTGATAAATTTCATGTAGCTTGTAAAACAGTTTGTAATTAAACACAGGCTTCAATATAAAATTTTCAATACAAAATTGTGGTGTGTTCCTACAGGCTGCAGGCTAGAAGGAAATAGTGACGTAAAACTCATCACTGCATACACAGGAGGCGCAGTACTGCTGCCCTGCTCCTGCACTGACCTCCACACCAAACCTGACACCTTCACATGGAGCAAATTCACAAATGGAAGTTATTGGGTAAAGATATCTCCTGAGAGTGAGCAGTACAAAGACAGATTTCAGCTGGTTAATGATCACTCTTCAGGAAATCTCTCTCTGCTCATATCACACCTGACTGAAGAGGATGGAGGAGATTACAGGTGTAGACTTAAAGAGGGTGAATACAGACACTTCAGACTCACTGTTAAAGGTAAACGACTCATTTTTATTCACAATGCTACTTCAGTGATAATCTCATGACAGATTAATCTGATGTTGTAACGGCAATGCAATATGTTGATGTTTGTTCATTCTCCAGGTTGCACACTGAATCGTCAGACAGTGACTGTGACTGGATACGTGGGACAGTCTGTCCTTCTGCCCTGCTCCTGCTCTCAACTACAAGCCAAACCACCCACTTTCAGATGGATCTTTTTTAAAGGATCTGATCGCATAATGATCTTCCCAAAGGACCAGACAAATCGCTACACAGACAGAGTTCAGCTCTTTAATGATCATCTTCCAGGAAATCTCTCTCTGCTCATATCACACCTGACTGCAGAGGATGGAGGATGGTACAGGTGTAGGACCAGCAGCACTGTCTTTAAAGACGTCCTAGTCAAAGTAGAAGGTAAAATGACCTCCTTTATATAAAGCATGTGAAATTGCCTCTAGTGTCTAGCTGGAAATGAATTTTTTTTTTTTTTTAATAAATATGTGAACTATTACTTTATAATAAAATTAGGTGGAGTGCACATTCCATCCAGCTGGAAAAAGGTGCAACGTAAAATAAGAAACAAAATGTAAGAGTCAGATGTGAAATGTTTCTGTTCCATGTTCTGCCCCTCGTCTGTGTTTGTGTTTATGATTATGGATTATCTGAGTTAGTGTTCTGACCCGCTTTCACTTCTCACTACGATTCCTGGATTGTCTTTAATAAAGAACACGCTGAGTTTACACACTTGTGTCCTGCCTTCACTCACTGCACATCACACTCTTTATTTATAACTTATTAAACCTTTCTCTCCTTCAGACGCACCAACAAGACCTTCAACATCCACAGCAGTGATCACAACAACTTCACCT